TCCCAGTGCAGAGCAGAGCAGGACAATCACCTCTCTTGACCAGCTGCTGATGCTGTGCTTAATGCACCCCAAGACACAGTTGGCCCTCCTGGCTGCCAGGGCACACTGATGATTCATATTCAACTTGCCATCGACCAGGACCCCCAGGTCACTTTCCACAGTGCTACTCTCCAGCCTCTCATTCCCCAGTCTCTACACACAACCAGGGTTGCTCCATCCTAGGTGCAGAATCCAGAACTTCCCCTTGTTAAACTTCAGGTGGTTGGTGATTGTCCCGCCTTCTAATTTGTCGAGGTTTCTCTGCAGGGCCTCTCTGCCCTCAAGGGAGTCGACGGCTCCTCCCACATTAGTGTCGGCAGCAAACTTACTTAGTATACCTTCGAGTCCTGCGTCCAAGTTGTTTATGAAGATGTTGAAGACAACTGGGCGGAGGATGGGGCCCTGCGGAACCCCACTAGTGACATGTCACCAGCCTGATGTTGCCCCATTCACTATAACTCTTTGAGCCTGACCCATGAGCCAGTTGCTCGCCCATCGCATACCATGGTTATCCAACTGTGTGCTGGACATTTTGTCCAGAAGGGTCCTTTAAGAGATGGTATCAAAGGCTTTGCTGAAGTCCAAAGAGATTACACCAACTGGCTTCCCTTGATCAACCAGGTGGGTTACCCTGTCATAGATGGAAATCAGGTTCAACAAGCAGGATTTCCCCTCATGAAGCTGTGCTGGCTGTGACTGATGATTATGTTGCCCTTCAGGTGTTTTTTCAATAACTCCCAGAAGAATCTTTTCCATGATTTTACCAGGCACTGAAGGGAGACTGACAGGCCTGTAGTTTCCAGGGTCCTCCTTCTTCCCCTTCTTGAAAATCAGGACAACATTCACCAGCTTCCAGTCAGCTGAGACCTCTCCAGATTCCCAAGCCCGCTCAAAAATCATTGAGACAGGTTCTGTGATGACATCAGCCAGCTCCTTGAGGATTCTTGGATGAATCCCATTAGGCCCCATAGACTTATAGGGATCCAGCTGGAGCAGCAGATCCCTCACAACATCAGGGTCAACTAGAAGTTGATCATTCTCGCAATCATGGGCCTCCAGCTCAGCCACTGGGACCCCCTTAGCCTGTCATCAGGGTTGAAGACAGATGGAAAGAAAGCATTAAGCATCCCTGCCTTGACTCTGTCCCTGTTTGTGAGGTGACTATCCTCATCCTGTAACAGGCCTATGTTGTTTCTGCACTGCCTTTTGCTATTAACATGTTAAAAACCCCCTCTTTTTATTGTCCCTTACAGTACTGCCCAGCTTTGACTCCAATTGAGCTTTGGCTGCACAAATTTTCTCCCTCAGTAGCAATCAGCATCACTGTATTCCTCCCATGTCAGCTGACCTTGCTTCCACTGAACATACACCTTTCTTTGCCTTATTTCCAAAAGAAGATCCCTGCTCAGCCAAGCTGGCCTTCTGCCTCACCTGCTGGACTTCTGACATTTGGGAATTGCCTGTTCCTGTGCCCTTAGGAGGTAGTGCTTAAAAAGTGACCAGCACTGATGGAACCCAGCACCTGAAAAAGTGTTTTCCCAGGGGACTTTACTTACTAATTCCCTGAGCAGCCTGAAGTCTGCTCTTCTCATGTCCAGAGTTGAAGTCTTGCTGGCACTTTTCCTCCTGTCAACAGAGATTTTGAGCTCGATTGCTTCATGGTTGCTGTGGCCAAGGTGGCCACCAATCTTCACTCACAAGACTCTCTCTGTTAAAAAGCAACAAATCAAGGAGGGCATCTCTCTTAGTTGGTTCTCTTAGTACTTGTATAATGAAGTTCTCATTCTGGTGTTTTAGGAATCTTCTGGACCTGTTTGTGCCAGGTGTGTGGTGTTCCCAGTTAACATCTGTCAAGTTAATGTCCCCCAAAAGGACAAGGGTAGGTGCCTCTTAGTTCCTCAAAGAATAATTCATTGGCATTATCATCCTGGCTAGGTGGTCAGTAGTAGACTCCCATGATGACATTCACATTATTTGTTTGTCCCTTGATTCTTACCCAGAGGCTCTCAACTGTGCCATTGCCAACTGTAAGCTCCATACATTCCAGCCCCTCCATCACACACAGCACCACCCCTCTGCCTCTTCTGCCCTGCCTATCCCTCCTGAAGAGCCTATAATCAACCAACATGGCACTCCAGTCACAGGACTCATCCCACCAGATTTCACTTAAGCCAATGATGTCAAACCTGTGGGACTAGGCCAAAGCTTCCAGCTCTTCTTGTTTGTTCCTCATGCTGCATGCATTAGTGTAGAAATGTTTCAGGTGTGGTACTTTGTGGCCAACACCTCGTGAAACAGATTGAGGGATTCCATTAATACTCATTTCCTCAAGTTTTGGCACACTGTCCCATCGCTCATCACTGGCAAGCCTGGTTTTGTCCTTTTCCCCCTTCCAAGCTAGTTTGAAGCCCTGTCAACAAGCCCTGCCAGTTCCTGTGCTAGAACTCTTTTTCCCCTCTGAGAAAGGTGCATCCCATCAGGTGTCAGTAGACCAGGTGTTGAGTAGATCATCCCATGGTCAAAAAACCCCAAATTTTTCCACTTACACCAGCCTCGGAGCCATGTATTGATCTGATGGATCTGCCTATTCCTATCAATATTATTACTTGTTACTGGAAGAATCAAAGAAATCACTACCTGTGCTCCTGATCCTTCAACCAATCGTCCCAAGGCCCTGAAGTCTCTTTTGATGCCCTTGGACTTCTTATTATTTCGTCGCTGCTGGCTTGAACAACCGATAACGGATAGTAATCAAAGGGCCTTACTAGACTGGAGAGTTTTCCAGTAATGTCATTTTATCCAAGCCCCTGGGAGACAGCAGACTTCCCTGTGAGTTGGGTTGAGTCTGCATATTGGGCCCTCTGTTCCCCTTAGAAGGGAGTCTCCTATTAAAACTACCCTTCTTTTCCTCTTAACAGAGGAGATTGTGATGCGGGGTACAGGTGGTGTTGCTTTAGGAGGCCCCTCTGTCCTAGAAGGACCTTCACCCACCTCATCAGTATTCTGGCCTCCTAGTTCCAGGGCCTCATACCTGTTGTAGAAGGTGCCAGTCCTACTTGTTAAACTTTCAGGAGGAGGAATCTTCACCTCACAGTGACCCGCTTCCAGCCTTCATCTTCAACAGACCCTTGACTATTGCAGGGTTCTGAGTCCATCTGCTTCTCCACAGCAATGGAGGTTCAAGACTCCCGAGAGTCTTGAGACTGTAGCATCTGTAAATAACCGGTCAATCTCTTGCTCTTTTGCTCGAATACTATGCAGCCTATTCACTTCCTCCTGTAGCTCCCTCACCTGGCAACACAGCTCTTCAACCACGGCACACCTTCTGCAAAATAACTGTTTGTCTGCCCCAGCCTCACAGAGAGGCATCAGGCGCTCCTGGCAACCTGTGACCTGTGGAGCTATATCTACCATCATCAGGTCTGTCTGGCTGGAGGCCTCTGACACAGCTGGTTCAGTGACTCCTGCAGCTACAGAGGATTGAGCTCTATGGTGTGTCAATACCATAACTGAAGAAGCTTACACTAGTACACTAATAAGGCTGGGACTGAAAGGATCTTATTGTGCTCTTCTCCACCAGATACTGAGTCTGTTTGCTGCCTCTATTGGCTGCTCCCCGATGGTCGGAGAGGAGCCTTTCCTGCTCACCCTGCCTGTGCAAATTGCCATGCCATGCTCCAGATCGCTCGTGCTCCTTTAGAGATGTTTAAATTGCCCTCACTGTTCCCAGCAACACACCCTCTGTGCCTGATGGGGCTTCCAGGTCCTGACGAGGCTCGGGGCTGATGCTTGGGTATCCCTGAGCTTGGGAACGCCCCTGTACAGCTTGATCTAATCCTGTCCACCGGACTTACCTCACTCGCCGCTGCTGCCACCTTACCAACTGACTGTTGGTTTTGGTCTTGCCTCATTTAAATCGTCCTTGCATTTCCTGGTAACGCCCCCTCTGCGCCTGACCTAACAACATCCTTGTACCCTTCCTGAGTTACCTGCCCCTTCTTCCAAAGGCATAAACTCTCTTCTTTTCCCCTGAGTTCCAACAAAAGCTCCCTGTTCAACCAGGCTGGTCTTCCCCACTGGCTCGTCTTTTGGCACATGGGGAAGGCCTGCTCCAGTGCCTTTAAGATTTCCTTCTTTAAGTATGTCCAGCTTTCCTGGACCCCTTTCTTTTTAAGGGCTGTTTCCCAAGGCACTCTCCAAAACAGTGTCCTGAACAGGCCAAAGTCTGCCCTCCAGAAATCCCAGGTAGCAGTTTTGCTTACCCTCTTCCTTACTTCACCAAGAATCAAAAACTCTATCATTTCATGGTCATTGTGCCCAAGACAGCCTCCAACCACCACATCTCCCACCAGCCCTTCTCTGTTTGTAAACAGCAGGTCCAGTGGGGCACCTCCCCTGGTAGGCTCACTTACCAGCTGTGTCAGGAAATACATGCTTCAGCACAGAAAAATCACAGAAAATTCTTGAATTTTTCTCCAACATTTTGCTAAAATTACATTGGGAACAAGTCAGTACAAACTGCTGCAGTAATTATTAATGTGGTAAATGCACTTTGGTTATGGTTTGTAATAGCAGCAAATTCGACAAACCTCAATGAAAGGATTAAATTCCTACTTAGGAATGTGATGGTGTAAACTATAGTGTACTGATCTAGACTGCCTTAAGAATTCAAATCTTGCTGGAGACTTGTTTCTGCTTGGTTTTTGCACTCAGTTGGGATGGGGCAGGATATTCTTTCACCCACGAACAGGATATGAGACTGAAGGTATGAGAACTGGAAGGAGCAGAATCAAGAGGAGAAAGCAGTTGGCTACCACCAAGAACTATGGTAAACTATAGTAAACAGTGATCCTGTACTGGTTGAGTGAACTGCAGAAGCACTGAACATGGTCTTTAACATTATCATTCATTTCCACGATGACACCATCTACAAGAGCTAACAAAACAACATAAAAACTTACTTGGAGTGAAAATGCTCGTAAAGCAGGAATAGGGATTAAGGCAGCCATAAAAAAAGCAGTAACATTGCTGATAGATGTAAGGGCTACACTTGCTCCTGTTCGCTTCAAACATTCACCTGTTCTGTCCTGCAAAACAAAGTAAAATGAATAAGGTGATGTTCTTCAAATGAAGAGATCATCCTACAGATATAACATGGTAACAGTGAAAAGTATTACAAGGAATTTCTGAATAAAAGTATGCATTTGAGAGTTTGTAAGAGTAAACAACACACTAAGTACGCTGTCCAGGAAAAAAGCAGATGACATATAAAGTGCTTACATTTTTTGAGGGTAGCAAACATTATCAAAGATGACACTGGCTTCAAAAGTCAAAGATAAATGGATACTGATATTATATCAAATACATCAGTTAAGTAGGATGTGTTTTGTATCAATGCAGTCACTTGGTGTTCTTAACATTTTTCAGACAAAATAAGCATACATTAACAGTGTAGATGCATAATGTCTTGAAGAAGCATGTGAGAAAAAAACCCCAACAAACAGAAATCCCAGGAACCACACAAAAAACAGAGGATCAAACACAGGACCCTTTCCCGATGCAGTAGGTTATTTTGAAGCATATGAAGGTTATAGCACAATGAGTTTGTATTGCCTGCATGCCAAACCAACTGGAAAGAGCACATGGAAGACATTGCTTGTACAAAACCAAACTGACAAATATATATTGCTTTTAAATGATTTGTACTTTGGATATGAAACTCTGGACTGAGAATAAAAAGGTCAATAAAAGGAAAAGATTATAAAAATGAGGAGGATCTTAGATTTCAAAATGTGAATATGTGAATGTCATGGTTAATTATAAATAAAAGGAAAGAAAACCAGGTCCTAGGACAAAGATCTCTAGAACAAAAGCTTTTTAAAAAAATCATTACTAACTAATTCTAGGTATATTTTCCTCTACGAGGCCTTTTCTTTTACTTTATTCTTTTATTTTCCCCAAACACCCCATTTTGTCATTACCTCAAATGGAATTCTCTTATTCTGCCCTGTTTCACTAAATGCATGTACCAGAAGGAATATATCATCTACACCAACTCCAAGAGCAAGAAAAGGCAAAACCTTGGGGAAGAAACAAAACAAGCAAAATAAACAATAGCATTTTTATATTATTCTTATGATTTACCATGCAGATAGTCGTTAGATGGCTAATGAAAATAAACTTTACACTACACTCTGAAGAGAAATCCAAGGTAAAAATGAAAATCAATGTGATGCAATACAGTTATTAACTTTCATTCTGAAAGACTGATGAGGAACTTGCAGTATACCATTTACAGGTATAAAACCTCACTAAAAGTAATTCAAGCTTTTGGTAGTCAAAGAATAACAGATAATATTTCAAGTTATTTTCAAAATATTTTCAGGAGTTGAACATCCCTATATATTTGGATGTAAGGGCAAAACTTGCAGCTTCTTGTGTACAACTGGATGCTTGCAGTCATATTGAGACACAGAAAAACAAATATTCTAGAATCTACATAATTAAACAAACTGGAGGATATCTGACTTTTAAAATTATCTGGCAGCACATTCTCTTAATTTCTCACAGCACAAGCTACTGGATAGGAGCAAGAAGCAAGTAAAAATCAAAAAATCAAAATACTTTCTCGGCTTATGTTTTTCCTCAAAGATTGATTCAGATGTGTTTATTTACTAACAAAGTTCTTGTAATTTAGCAGCAGACTTTTGGCTCCTTAATACCTGAGTTGTGGCAGCATTAAAGGAAATTCCAATCAATGAGCACAGACCCAGTCCTGCAGCCACTGAGAGAGCAACCAAGAAGATTCCTGCCAGTCCCACAGCACCTTGAGACTTTGCACAGTCCCACCGCAGCATTGTTAAACAGGCATAGGCAAGCTGAAAGCAAAGCAAGGATTGGATTAAAATGGATCCTTCTCTATTCGCCATCTCCCCCCAACATTACACATAGCTTACAAGTGTTTTTAAACAGAACAGACATATCAGAGATGTTACATAGAAGAATAGGTGACAACCCTGAGGCAAATGTTTACAAACTGCAATTTTTCTCAGGGGAGACCTCATCACTCTCTACAACTACCTGAAAGGAGGTTGTAGCCAGGTGGGCGTCGGTCTCTTCTCCCAGGCAACCAGCAGTAGGACAAGAGGGCATGGTCTTAAGCTCTGCCAGGGGAGGTTTAGGTTGGATATTAGGAAGAAATTTTTTACAGAGAGAGTGATCAGACATTGGAATGGGCTGCCCAGGGAAGTGGTGGATTCTCCATCCCTGGAGGTTTTTAAGATGAGACTGGATGTGGCACTTAGTGCCATGGTCTAGTAACCATGGTGGTAGTGGATCAAGGGTTGGACTTGATGATCTCAGAGGTCCTTTCCAACCCAGCTGATTCTATGATTCTATGATTCTATGATTTTATTTTAAGTATTCTGAAAATGTTCTGGACTGTTGACTGGTAACAAGAAGGCAGCCATTTGAACCCTGTTGTACTACTGGAGTCAATTAAACAAACAGAATTTAATTTCTTACCATTAGTAAGTAGCCACTAGCTACTCTGATAACACTGACATCAGAAAATGACTTCAGAATGTCATCCAGGGTAGTTGTAGTAAAGGAAAGCACCTTCTGAGTAGAGTTTTGTGCAACACTTTGATGAACAACCTACAGAAAAAAAAAATTTAGTGTGCCACAGAAAAAAAAAATTTAGTGTGCCTCAGAAAAAAGCCCATTATCATCTTCTACAGCAAATATCTGAAATCAACTACTTTTGCCTTAATGCTCCTATTAAAGCACACACCCTATAGCAGAGATTTCACTGAGGCTACATGAAATAAATATTTTTGGTAATTATTTCCTGCAAGCTACCGATTATCAAACAAGAATTTACATCTTCAGGAAAGGCCACTGCATTCACAGCTCATTCAAAACATTTAACTCCTGAAATGTAAAGGAGATTTCTTCTTTCCATAACTCTGCCATTGATTTGCTGTTGTATGAGTTTTGCCTTTAATCCAAGGTCCAGCAAACAGTAAAACCTTCATGGCTTCTCATATGTGTTTAAGCAAGTGGCTTCTTAATTAAAAAAAAAAAATCAGCCTTTTCACAGAATCGCAGAATCAACTAGGTTGGAAAAGACCTCTGAGATCCTCGAGTCCAACCCTTGACCTAACACAACCTTGTCAACTAGACCATGGCTGTAAGTGCCACATCCAGTCTCATCTTAAATACCTCCAGGGATGGTGACTCCACCACCTCCCTGGGCAGCCCATTCCAATGCCCAATCACTCTCTCTGTAAAGAACTTCTTTCTTGGCACAGCTTAAGACTGTGCCCTCTTGTCCTACTGCTAGTTGCCTGGGAGAACAGACCAACCCCCAACTGGCTACAACCTCCTTTCAGGTAGTTGTAGAGAGTGATAAGGTCTCCCCTGAGCCTCCTCTTCTCCAGGCTAAACAATCCCAGCTCCCTTAGCCGCTCCTCATAGGACTTGTGCTCCAGTCCCTTCGCCAGCCTCGTTGCCCTTCTTTGGACATGCTCCAGCACCTCAACATCCTTCCTAAACTGAGGGACCCAGAACTGGACACAGGACTCGAGGTGCAGCCTAACCAGGGCCGAGTACAGGGGAAGAATCACTGCCCTGCTCCTGCTGATCATGCTATTCCTGATACAGGCCAGGATGCCATTGCCTTCTTGGCCACCTGGGCACACTGCTGACTCATGTTCAGCCTGCTGTCAATCAGTACCTCCAGGTCCCTTTCTGCCTGGCTGCTCTCCAGCTGCCCTGTCCCCAACCTGTAGTGCTCCATGGGGTTGTTGCGACCAAAGTGCAGGACCTAGCACTTGGCCTTGTTGAACCTCATCCCGTTGGATTCGGTCCATCTATCCAGCCTGTCTAGGTCCCTCTGCAGAGCCCTCCTACCCTCCAGCAGATCAACACTCGCCCACAACTTGGTGTCATCTGCAAATTTGCTAATGGTAAACTCAATCCCCTCATCCAGATCATCATTAAAGATATTAAACAGGGCTGGGCCCAACACTGATCCCTGGGGGACACCATTAGGGACTAGTCACCAACTGGATGCAACACCATTCCCCACCACTCTCTGGGCCTGGCCATCCAGCCAGTTCTTAACCCAGTGGAGAGTGCATCTGTCCAAGCCATGGGCTGCCAGCTTTTCCAGGAGTATGCTATGGGAGACGGTGTCAAAGGCTTTGCTGAAGTCCAGATAGACACATCCACAGCCTTCCCCTCATCCATCAGGCAGGTCACCTGGTCATAAAAGGAGATCAGGTTGGTCAGGCAGGACCTGCCCCTCCTAAATCCATGTTGTCTGCGTCTGATCCCCCAGCTGTCCTGTATGTGCCATGTGATTGCACTCAAGATGATCTGCTCCAGAAACTTGCCGGGCACCAAGGTAATTTTAAAATTGTTTGTTACAGCATAAGGATAAATTTAAAACCAGGATACAACACTCAATTCTAGTTTAAGCATCTTCCTTGAGAAAATACTATAAAAAGCCACAACTAAAGGCAGTGGACCTTAGTAAAGCTATATAGCAAGACATCTAGGTTATTGTCAGTTTTACCTCAACATACATCCGCTGCCAGGCTTCCAGAATTGCTGCTGCTTTATCCTCACTCCAGTTGATATGTGAAACATATTCATACCCCTTGAAGTGCTCATACATTTGCTTAGGAGTCATTAACTGAAACATGGTTTGCAAAGCCTGGGCACTGTAACAGGGAGAGAAGAGAGAAGAAAAAGAGGCATTAAAATAAGCATTTTCAGGAAATGTTTTTTTCACTGCATAAAGGCTCAAATGAGGGCCTAACAGGAGCTTGCACAAGTTCTGGATTTTATAAGCCACATGTTGATATTAAAATTGAACACAGTATAATTATTCTACCATGTATCTGGTGAAGCTGTACTGGTCTATACAGTACTGATGCTAAGTCTATGTTTCACTGAAGTTAGTGAGTATTTTGCCATTATTTTCAATAGGATCACTTCCAGGAGCAAATAATGTAATCCTACAAATCAGTTATAAACACCATGACTGACAGATTGCTATGAGAAGGACACAGAAACAGTTATTCCTATGAGATCTTGAAAATGCTGTTGGCAATTTGTCATTTGAAGACCTTGGTCTTTTTCATACCGTGGAGAGAAATGCCAGACTAAACTCCTGACAGCTGACAAGCAGTAAAGAATACACAAAAGGCAATAATTATCCATTGTAAATTTACACAGTATGTAACTGTATCAAACAATTTTAGAAGCTTAAAGAACTATTTCATTTTTCACCAAGAATAAAGTCTTTGGCTATTTGTTAGAAGACACTTCTGTGCACTTTTCCACTTTCAATATTTAGTGTCAATGTAAAAAACATCAAAATCCATATAAAAAGTTCTAGTAAAAATTATCTCTATTCATGGCTAGGCTTCGTGAATGAAGATTTGGGAAGGGCTCTACCCACGTTTCTTGCAAGCGCGTTGGTGGCTAAAAAGGCCAATATGAGAAAGACATGTCCGGTTGCAAAAGACACAGCAGAAAGAGTCCTTAGGTGGTATATTCTGCAAGGCTCGAATCTTTCTGTGTTGTCTTTTCTCCTCAAGGGTGATCCTGCGTGCTTTCTCAAAAGCATCAGCAGCGTTATAGATGGTGTGTCTCCAGGCCTCCCGATTAGAGACCAGAGTAGACCAGTTATGGTGGTCAATATGGCCAAGGCTGAGATGTTGTTTCAGGGAGTCCTTGTATCTTTTCTTCGGGGCTCCTCTCTTGCGGCAGCCAGTGGTAAGTTCACCATAAAGCAGGATCTTAGGGAGGCGGTGGGCCTTCATCCTGGAGACGTGCCCTGCCCAACGCAGCTGCGTTCTCAGCAACATGGCCTCAATACTTGTGATTGCTGCCTGTTCAAGAACAGATGTATTGGTCACATAATCTGACCAGTGGATGTTTAGGATTGTACGGAGGCAGCGTTGATGGAAGTGTTCTAGGAGACACAGGTGGTGGCGGTAGATGACCCATGATTCGGAACCATATAAAAGAGTAGACAGCACTATGGCTCTGTAAACACTGATCTTGGTACTTTTCTTCAAATGTTTATTACGCCAGACTCTTTTATGGAGTTTTCCAAAAGCACTATATGCCTTCGCTAACCTGTTATCTATCTCCCCGTCAATCTTACCATCCGAGGAGATGAGGCTACTTAGGTAATTAAACTGTTGGACTGATTTGAGCTCTGACTGGCCGATGGTGATGTGGGGATGATGGAGGACTTCCTGAGGTGCAGGTTGATGGAGAACTTCTGTCTTCTTTAAGCTGACTTCCAGCCCAAAGAGCTCAGCAGCATCTGCAAAGCAGGATGTTAAACGCTGCAGGGCTGCTTCTGTGTGGGCAACAAGGGCGGCATCATCAGCATACAGCAACTCCCGGACAAGATGGTTTAAGGTCTTGGTGTGGGCCTTCAGTCATCTTAGGTTGAATAGGCTTCCATCAGTACGATATCGAATGTAGATACTGTCCTGATCATCAAGGTCTGCTGTGGCCCTTTGGAGCATCATGCTGAAAAAGACTGTGAATAGGGTTGGTGCAAGAACGCAGCCTTGTTTCACACCATTCTTTATTAGAAAGGGCTCAGAAAGTGTGTTGCCATATCTGACTTGGCCGTGCTGATCCACGTGGAGTGAGATGATCATTTTAAGGAACTTGGGGGGACAACCTAAACATTCCAAAATCTGCCAAAGACCTTTTCTGCTCACAGTATCGAAAGCCTTCGTGAGATCGACAAAGGTTACATAGAGACCTTTGTTCTGTTCCCTACACTTCTCTTGCAGTTGTCTGAGAACAAATATCATGTCTGTGGTGCTCCTGTTGGCTCTGAAACCACACTGACTTTCAGGTAGAATTCCTTCTGCTATAGCGGGTATTAGTCTGTTCAAGAGTATTCTTGCCAGGATTTTGCCAGCAATGGAGAGTAGAGTAATACCACGGTAATTTGAGCAATCTGATTTAGTACCTTTCTTCTTATACAAGGTGATGATGACTGCATCACGAAGGTCTGAAGGTAGTTCGCCTAGTTCCCAACAGCGCACCACAAACTCAGAAACCCTTGAGGGTTTCTCCTAAAGTGGGGGCAGTATCCAATTCGTATTTCACCGGTTGTTGTGTGATGGACTGAATTGCTGAGTCTTGGACTACACGGTTGGTACTGAAAAGAGTCTGAAAATGTTCAGACCATCGATTCAGAATGGAGGTTTTATCTGTCAGAAGCGTTTGACCATCTGCACTGAGTAGTGGGCTTTGGACTTGGTATGTAGGCCCATATGCTGTTTTCAGGGCCTCATAGAATCCTTTGTGATCCCCTGTATCTGCACATAGTTGAGTTTTTGCAGTTAGATCGGTCCACCACTTATTCTGGATGTCACGGAGTTTCTATTGGAGCTTGCTGCATGCAAGACGAAAGGTTGTTTTTCTTGCATGACAGGATGGTTGAGCAAGGTGTGCTTGGTGGGCGGTTCTCTTCTTCCTCAACAAGTCCTGGATCTCTTGATTGTTTTCATCAAACCAGTCCTTGTTCTTCTTGAGGGAGAACCCTAAGGATTCTTCGGAGGATTGCAGGATGCTGCTTTTAATATGATGCCAAATTGTTTCAGGAGAGGAATCTGCAGAATCTGTGGAGTGGTTTTCGAGCCTAGTTTGAAGGTTTGCCTGGAATCTTTCTCTTACTGTGGCTGATTGGAGATCGTTAACTTGGAGTCTTCTCCTTGGGAACCTGCCCCTTTTGAGTTTGAGATTGAAGTTGAGTTGACAGCGCACAAGCCAATGGTCTGTTTGGCATTCTGCGCTGGGCATCACGCGGGTATGGTGGACATAGCGGACATCTCTCCGTCGCACCAAGACATAATCAGTGAGGTGCCAATGCTTAGACCTGGGGTGCATCCAGATTGTCTTCAGACTATTTTTCTGCTGAAAGATAGTATTAGTGATGGTGAGCTGTTGCTCCGCACAGAATTCTAGCAGAAGTCAACCATTATCGTTGCAGTTTCCAACACCATGCTTGCCTAATATTCCTTTCTATGCTTCAAAATTCTTACCTACTCTGGCGTTGAAATCGCCAAGGATAATGATCTTATCATCTGCGGGCACCTTTTGGGTAAGGTAGCACAGGTCAGTGTAAAATTTATCTTTTTCAGCAGGGTCAGCTTGGAGAGTTGGGGCATATATACTAAAGATGACAACGTGTTGCTTGTTGTGGAGTGGAAGGCGGGGAGATAATGCGGTCAGAATGACCTGTCGTCAGATTTTCGAGTTTAGGGACAATAGAGTTTTTGATCATGAAGCTGACACCTCAGAGATGTTTTTCGGTTCTGGACTTACCTGACCAAAAGAGTGTGTAACCGGCACCATGTTCTCTGAGGCTGCCTTCCTCGTGAAGGCGAACTTCGCTGAGAGCAGCAATGTTGATGTTGAGACGAGCCAGTTCATGGGCAATTAGGGAAGAACGTCGCTCAGGACGTCCGCTATCCGCAGAATCGAGCATGGTTCTGATGTTCCAACATGCTAGAGTCAATTTAGGTACACCTTTGGAGGCAGGTGCATGCCTTTGTCTTTTGCTCTTTGTGCGATCGCATTGGAAGAAGATGCCCGTTGGCCTGCGGTTAACCAACGGGGTGAAGGTGGAGATGAGCTTTGTTTAGGCCACCTTTTCTAGGCCCCTCTCCCAGTGGAGCAAGCAGTGCTGTCCTTGAAAAGGCTGCTTGGTCGTTCAGGGTGCTGCCCCAAGAGACTGTCATCTCCGGTCAGTCTCAAATGACCAATATCCTGAACCGCCTGCATGCAGGGTTGGGTCTGCGGCTTCCAGTGCACCTTTCACCTGCCGTTTCGACCCTCGCCCGTCGCTACAGGACTTTTTGCACGTGGGTAAAGCCTTCAAGCCTGCGCAATGGATTTTTTAGGTGAGATGCAGTATGCGCGGAACTGAACCCACCCTTTAATCCTAAGGTTCATCTTCCAGGGCCGAGCAAGCTTGGACGGTGGCAGCGAGATCCTCAGGACGTAGGTTTGATTAGAGTGACCTTCTCTGAGATGGGTGGCCTTACAGGGTTAAGCGAGTTCCATCTGCCCGGGTTTGAGATTAGAGTTGTCCTTCTCCTAAGATGACTGCCAGAAGGCTAACGAGCCCATCCTGCCCAAGAACGTAGTGTATCTGGTCCTATGGTTTTGACCTCTCTGGCATGGGCAACCCTACCAAAGGCATGAACCATCGCCAGCATAGCTCGCAACCATATAGGGGTACACAGGGTATCTGTATTAAATATGTAAGAATTATACTTCTTTTAGTTTAATATAAATTTGGATTCAGTGTGTACATCTAAATAATGTTTTTATATGTGCTTTTTTTAACACGGTTCTATTTCAAGGGGTTTCCCCCTAAAGTCCAGTGTTCCACGACTTCTTCAAGAAGTCTAAAAGAAAGGGTTTTATTTTGTCTGTCAGAAAATGTATTCAAGATCCAGTGACATAAAGAATATACTTTTCTCTGTATTGACCTTAAACAAACAGTTCAATGGAGATTTTTGATTTTTGATAAAAGACAAATAAGTGGGCACATTACCAGAACTTTGGAGGGGCTCCAAGGACTGTACATGCTGTGAAGAAGATGAAGATGAGGAAGAAGGGGTCCCAAAGACCCCAGACCCAATTCCCGAAGGGGCGTGTCGGGGGGCAGAACTGGGCAGAACCGGGCAAAACCGGGGGGTGGATAGTTCTGGGATTGGATGGACCTTCTTATAAAATCATAGAGCCACTGTCTGGGTGCACGTGTCATGTGTATTCCCCTGGGCCTGTAGGCCTGATTAAAGGACCCACTCTTTTTATCTTATACACTAAATTGGCCTAGAGTTTTTTTCTCTGCTATCTCTTTAGGTTACAATACACATCATTCACAGATTGTGAAAGACAGTTGATTTTGCATGATATGGCTCCCTGTCAAAAAAAACCCAAATTCTAATAAAGAAAAATTAAAAATTCTTATGTAAACATTTGTTTGCTTACCTGACAAGCTTACCAGAACTATTCTTGACTGTACCACCTATAATCAATTCCTCCTGCCAGTGCATGTATTTTCTCGACAGTCCATAGCATCCACCACTCAAAACAAGAGACACGTCAAGAGGCTAGAAAAAAGTTTTAAAGAAGCAATTCATCAGTTGCCTAACTTCAGACAAATCCTAAGTCAACACCTAGTTTACTGAAATAACAGATATGGAAGATCATCTAGGAAGTCTACAAAGAGAAATGTGTTCAACAAATGGGAGTAGACAAACTAGCCTGATAGTTGTTCACCACATAGCAACTTCTCCAAAGCCAAAGTGACTGAGAAAGGGATATATCAAGTTGGGTCAACAAAACTGGCCCTACTTGAAGGAAGGCCTTGCAGCACAGTGTCAGTGTACAGCAGCAGCCATATTCCAGGAGTAACTGTGTCTGCCTGAGGCACATTGCTTGCTGAAATTATGTCAACACATTGCCACACCTATCCAGTAGCTGAGAACTGTAATTTCACTCTAAATATGTGTGATTAATATTCCATCACAGGATGAGGGAAACTTAGTTACCCTGGGCTAATTATATAATAGGAACCAAATAATGAAATCACTGAAGAACATAAAATATATATTACTTGGAAGGGAATGATACCCTTTTCTCTCACCACACATACAGAACCTCCCTTGAAAAGATTTACACACAGGTAAGCAAACTTACTTTGGTGGAATTTTTGTTGGGAGCTGTGATTGGACAATCGGGATCAGCAGGATTCAGACAAGGTCGATCCATATAACCATGACCAACCTCTGCTTTTTTCAGCATTTCTTCCCAGTTCTCCACTTGGTAATTTATTTTTTTTAACTTTTCTAAGAATTCTAAGGGGTCAAAGTTGATCCACTGAAAAGGAGGTTTCCCTCTGTTAAAGAAATCAGGGGAGAATGACAAAAAAAAGACAAAATAAGTACTGAAACATAATTTTTTAATTTGTATTTTTGCAAATGTTGAAGTTGTTTTCTGTTACAAGCTATAACCTTTTCTGGTAAGGTTGTTTCATAAAATGAAATGCATGTTTTAATTATATTTGTTTATGCATACTTTTCTTGTAGGCCCTGTGGTGATTTTAACAAAAATATCAGTACTTACATACCAATTTACTGTACGAAAGGGAATATTCACATGTTAAAAATAATTTCATTTACAAACCAAGTAAAACAAACCATCAAGCACCTAAATAACAAAAAAGCAGCCAACTGCTGCTTCAAAGAATTTGGAGAGAGAGGAGAGGGGAAGAAGGGAGGAAGTTGAAGAAAGAAATCCTTTCACATAGTATCAGATTACTTTTTGCTGGTCTAATAATCATCTTGCAAATGTAATCAATCAACATAGCTGGTCTTTGTTTATCTATAACAATTCTGTGCTCCTGCAAATGCCCTGGCTGCTTGACTATCAGCCATCAAGCTTTCCTGCTACCATGGCTGTCATCAATGTCACATCTCCCACCCTCTACTTTTGAATTTGTGATGTTAACAGACTACAAAGGCTTTTGGTTGCCTTATTCTGTGATTCAAACCACACTGTATTTGCTTAAACAGGTTTAATTCTTTATTTGAAATCTCCCAACCAGAAAATGCAACCCCCCCTTATTTCCCAAGCTAAAACTGTACACTAAACGTTGCAAATTGCTTTCACAGAGACATGCAAACCAGGTCAGAAACCATAACTCAAATGTTAAGTCTTTCATAAATAAATGCCTGCACAGATTAACAATTAACTCTCTGAACAATCCAGGACATACAATATCACACTTGATAAGAAACCACCCATAAAAAATATATTTTATTTCTTTAATGATCTCATAAGCAAACGATTTGAGTTTTATTCTTTAGGAAGACTTCAGTATTTACCTAAGAGACCTACATTTTCTTAGAAAAAAATTAATTCCCAGCCAATATTTTTTTAGTTTGGGGGTGGAGGAGAAAAAAAAGAAGGAAAGGAAAAAGTTTATTTCCCAAAAAGCATACAATTAAAAAAGCTTGAATTCAGACTTTATATTTTCTTTTGCATCCTAGCAGAATGGGAAAAGTAATGACACAGGACTTAAGTTGATGCATACAAATCATCTTTCAGAAGCAGAAAAAAACTTTGCTCAATTAAAAAAAAAATCCATGCACATTTTCTGCAAAGACACAACAATTTTTTTAAATTATTTTTATTTATTATTTTTTGGTTAAACCAGAATCTGAATAAGCACTGGGATACATCTCAAAATCATGCATCATTTTACTATTAAAACTATTAACTGGAAAGTTATAAAAAAAGCATGCTTACAATAGATAGGCAGTTCCTGACTGTAGCTTTGCTCCCTCCCAGAAGCAGTCCAAAGGAGTGATGATTAAACAAGGATAAAGATATTCTATGATCTGTCAAAGTCAAAAAAGGGAAAAAACCACAATTAGACTACAATATAATCTAAACAACACACGCTGAATCATGAAAATATAAATTGTTTATAATCAAATGCCTGTTATGCCTACCTGGTCCATGTACCCTGCTTCTGTGATGAGTTCTCCTGATTTATAACATAAGTGTTCCAATTTCCATTTTCTGTAATAAATATAAAGAACAAGTTTTTTTTCTTTAACAATTACTGAAAAGTTATTTTTAAAATGTAACTATTGGGTGTGGCTGAGATGGAGTTCATTTCCCCATAGCAGCCCTCACAGTGCTGTGCTCTGCATTGGTAGCTAGAAAGGTGGTGAGAACACATCAGTGATTTGGCTACTGCTGAGCAGTGCTGGCACAGCATCAGCTCTGTCTCTCAACATTCCTTCCTCCTTTCCAGCAAGGGCAAGATCCTGGGAGGGGACACAACCAGGCCAGATGACCCAAAGGGATATTCCATACCATGTGACATCAGCTCAGATATAAAAGCTAAGGAAAGGAGGAGAAAGGGGGGGCATTTGTTGTTTGCAATGTTTGCCTTCTGGAGCAACCGCTCCATGTGCTGAAGCCCTGCTGCCCAGGAAGTAGCCAAACACTGCTTGCTAATGGGAAGTAGAGAATAAACCTTGTTATTTTCTTCTTCACTTGTGCGTGCACAAACTTTCGCTTTGCTTTATTAAACTGCCTTATCTCAACCTACGAGTCATTTTCCATCTTATTTTCTCTCTCCTGTCCAGTTGGAAGGGAGAGTGATAGAGCAGGTGGTGGGCACCTGGCATCCAGTCAAGGTCAACCCACTACAGTAACATACATTAAAATTATTATTTATATAGACATGGTGGCCTCAAGTAGTGAATCACTGAGAAAAGACAAATTTTATTCAATGTAGGTATGCCCACTTGTGAATTAAGATAGCACTTGGCAACACGAGAGAGAAGTCAGCTTCAGGCTCAGACTAGCTCTGACTCATGCATGTAGGAGAAAAGAAATCATTAGATTATTATAATGTTATTATTACTATGTTATTAAATAGCCCAGCAATTCCACCCACTGGCATTTCTCTTCCATTTTCATTTTCCCTTTAAGCCCGAATTACTGGAAGGCTTTTAATTGTTAGAAATCCCATCAATAAAGTCCCATTTTTAAGAGAACAGTTACCACTGTGGTAACCACATAAGGGTACATTTTCAGAATCTCATGCAATACCTCTTACACCATTTTATTTGTTAAAACGTCAACTGGTCACTGCTATCATGACACAATTTGAAGCATCAGTAACTAGTGACATTCAAATCAAAACAGTTCTAATGGAAGTGCTATCCATTAAAAGTATATGCAGGGAAATATTTGTTCACTTTCTGTTACAGATGATCAAGAAAAGTTTTGATTTTCTTCTTACCTGTTGTACATATAAACATCTACTCTGCTGGCCTGAAGTGCAGAGTCAAGGTGCTGTCTGAGTGCTTCTATTGTTAGTATATTGGCACCATCTTCATGTGGAGTCTGAATCATGAGCTGAGGGTTAAACATGGCCTCTTCGCCAATCTTCTGCCGTGTATAATTTAATTCTCGACTCACTCGTCCACCAACTGATGGATAAATATTAACAGCTTATTCTGGATTCACATGATGAGCACTCTCTGGTCAAAAAATCTTTATCATGTGCATGGAATATTCTACCTCAAACCAATTACAGTGTAGCTCTAAATCTAATACCAAATTTATTTTAGTAAAAATGCAACAAAAACCATATTACCTATCAAATATATGCCATTGTCCCTACTGCACTAAAATACTGATGTGCAAATTGGAGCCTTTTAAACGACATGTTTTTTTATATTAGAACCAATATTCCATATGTAAAAAAACCAACAAAAAATCCTTTCCTTGTCTACCAGACCAAATACTCTTATGTTACCATTTCTTTCACTTGTATAAACAGTCTGCTCCAATAGCACATTTCAAGACAAATGTCTTCAATTTACACTCTTCTAAATAATTTGGCAAAGGTAGAAGGGAGATGCTTTTCTTCAGTTAAAAAAAGGGAAGAGGGAAAGGGTAAGTGAGCGTGAGTACTTCTTTCAGCCTTATATAAAGGGAAAAAAATAATAAATTCACACAAAGAGGTGCAGTCCTGAGTGCAACAAAGTGTAGTAGAAAGGACCATCTAGAAACAATTTACCCTAGTGGTTCAGTACCTGCATAACATGGTGTGCTGCAGGGAATAATTAATACACAACATCTTTTTCTAAACCTTCATTAGCTGAGCAGGTATGCTCCATATTAAAACATGGATTTAAAAAAAAAAGGAAAAGGCAGAGAGACTGCAAAGAAGACAGGCTCTAGAGGGAGTCAACTTGCCTTGACAGACAAAATTACATAAGAATGAAAAATTATCTTCCACTTACAAAAAAGCATTCAGCTAGAGTACATATATACTTTATATAACCTCCCCTATAGTCTCCCTAGAAAAGGAATGTGGGAGGGGATTCAAAAAATGCAGCCCATTAGCTGGATCAAGACCATATCCAGATGAGGAGGACAAGAACACCAATATATTGTTTCCATCCCTTACAATGTATTAACTTTATTGCTATGCTAAGGCCAAGCTACAGACCTGGTCTAATTTGTTACATTTTCTTCAGTTCTAGTCACCTTGGCACTGGTGATCTAAATTACTGTCAAAGTTTAATTCTGCAGCTATGGGAATAGAAACTATACATGTAAATCTCTCTCTTTTTAGGTCACATAATGGAAGACTGATCTGTAGCCAGTCAGCAGTGTGAGAGATTACATTCTCAAGTCTTAACTAGCCTAGGACGTACTTTTTCAATCAGTTGGGCCCTCATTCTACTCGCAACCCCCCTGGAGCTAATGGGACCATCAGGCAAGAAGCTAGGCCCCAGCATGGATAAAGCTGTCAGATTCAGGCTCTCAAGAATTATAATCATTCTGGCATGAGGCAACACTTAATTTTTAGTTCAAGAATTCTTTAAAGAAATAAGTATTTCTACAACACACTCCAACCATCTTCTCAGTCAGTCTGTCATGTGGCACTACCTCCTTCACATAAAGTAACAATGATCATCCCACAGTAACAAAAAATAAAAAGCAAAGTATAAATTCCATACCTAGATTCCCTTTATAATGTATTAACATCCCTCTTATTACAGTGACAGGATATACCCTAAATAAGGCTGCATATGCATGGTAAAAAAAAGCTACTGCGAATTTCTATCAATAATTAAACTCTAAAACCACTTAGACTTTGCCTCAAGTGTTTGAGTATATGCACATTAATCACAACTAAATGCAAATTCAAATTAAATAGCATACTCCATACCAAAAGCTCATTCTAGATTGCAAGTTACTTTGCAAACCCATATATCAAATTTGTTGTACTGCTGCTGTGTTGAAAGAAGCGATTGTCCCACTATGCTCAGCATTGGTATGGCCTCGTCTCAAGTACTGTGTGCAGCTTTGGGCTCCACAATATAAGAAGGATATTAAAATGTGTCCACTGGAGGGCAACAAAGATGGTGAAAGGACTAGATGGTGTGACTTATGAGGAGCAGCTGAGGATAGTAGGCTTGTTCAGCTTTAAGAAGAGAGTGAGGGGTGACCTCATTGCTGTCTACAACTTCTTCATGAGGGGGAGCAGAGAGGGAGGTGCTGATCTCTTCTCTCTGGTGTCCAGTGATAGGACGTGAGGGAATGGCTTAAAGCTGCATCGGGGGAAGTTCAGGTTTAGGTTTAGGTTGCCCTGGATGGAGTCAGGAGTTGGACTTGATGATCCTCATGGGTCCCTTCCAGCTCAGGATATTCTATGATTTTATGATTCATTAAACTCCAATTTCACTCATGAGACTGATGTTCGTGTCCGCTGCTGTCTTACTCCAGCAGTTGGTAAATAATATGCTAATAAATTTTGCTTTGTCTTACAGGGACAAAGCAGTGGGGAAAAGGGAGCACATGGATTATAATCTATACATCTTGGAATAAAAGCTTGCTTTTGCAGTTCCTACTTCAGAACACAAAATGTCTCTTTTTTTGTCTGTTTGTTTAAATGCCACCCAAGATAATAAAGATCCAACTGGATTAGGACTTTGGAGTCAATCATAAACATCTGTTCCTGCTACTATACTCTCTCCCATTCCACTCACACTTCACTTTTGAATTTAACTAGGACTTGAACCAACAGATCAAACCATGCAAGACAAAGGACATAATTCCTATCTGCTGAAAGTGATCAATTGTTTATTTTCAAAAGAAATTATTGCTTCCTAATCAAGATCCTGCCAAACTACATTAATTTCATTGAACAATGAAGATTTAGCTAATCTGACTTGCATCAATCACATAAATCTGTCATCAGAAGCAAAGCTTTTTTTTTACCTTTTACATTAAAACAGTAATAACAAAAACATCCAAGAAAGCAGGCACATGTTCCAGAATTCAACAATAGAGCTGCTGCTAGGTCCTGCACTTGGGCCACAACAACTCCATGCAGCGCTACAGGCTGGGAGCAGTGGCTGGAAAGGTCTAGAGAACGAGTCTTTGAGGAGCGGCTGAGGTAGCTGGGGTTGTTTAGCCTGGAGAAAAGGAGGCTCAGGGGAGACCTTATTGCACTCTACAACTACATGAAAGGAGGTTGTAGTGAGGTGGGGGTTTATCTCTTCTCCCAGGTAACAAGTGACAGGACAAGAGGAAATGGCCTCAAGTTGCTCATGGGGAGGATTTAGATTAGATATTAGGAAAAATTTCTTCACAAAAAGAGTTGTAAAGCATTGGAACAGATTGCCCAGGGAAGTGGTAGAGTCACCATCCCTGGAAGTGTTCAAAAAACATGTGGCTATGGCACTTGAGGACATGGTTTAGTGGTGCATGTGGTGGTGGTCCCAGGTCGATGGTTGGACTTGATGATCTTAAAGGTCTTTTCCAACCTTAATGATTCTATGATTCTAGAGGACCAGCTGAGAGAACTGGGGCTGTTTATTCTGGAGAAATAGATATTAGGAAAAATATCTTCATGGAAAGCGTTGTAAAACATTAGATCAGAATGCCCAGATAAAGTAATGGACCACTCACATAAATTTCATCCCTCCAAAGGATACTGACCCTTTTTGATAAATCATAAGTGTAGATCAGTGCCCCTTATAATGTTTCCATTACTGCTTGAGCAATGTCCAATGCAGGCAACATCTGCAATTTGCAATACCTGTTATCACTAGATTGGGATTAGAGAGGAATAAAATAACACCCACCATCACCTTCATGACTTGGTAACTGTATAAAAGCAAAGACTGAGAAATATACCCCAATGCAGTCAATTGAGACTTAACCTTTACTATTGTATTGGGTTTGCATGGCAAGGGGTTTTTTTGGGGGAGGGTACTACAGGGGTGTAGGAGCAGCTAAACAACACAACACCAGCCACCTGGATGATAGAAGAAGAAGAAGAAAATATTTAAGCAAAAATACTGTGGTCCTGAGTGAGCCAGAGCTAAGATTAGTGTGTGTGTGAAAAGAATCACAAGGTCAAGCTGGAAAGCCGCTTGAAGCATGATTGTTCTTTGTGGCTGAAGGCAGCCACGGGAGTGTCTGTGTGGAATGTGTGCAGATAAGTAACACCTGGCCTGGCTTGATAGCTCGGACCCTTATTCTGTATATAAATGGAGTAATAAAGTTACAAGAGAGTGCTGCCTGGAGAAAGTCTGTCTCCCATGGATTCATTCGCCAAAAAGGATGCTGAGTGAGGGACCTTCGCTGCACAGGGGTGGTTTCTGAGAGAAGCTGCCAGAAGCTTCCCCCATGTGTGACAGAGCCAATGCCATCTGGCTCCAGGATGGACCTGCCGCTGGCCAAGGTTGAGCCAATCAGGAATGATAGTAATGCCTCTGGGATAACATATTTAAGAAGGAAAAAAAAGTTACTGTGCAGATGTAATTGTGCTCAGAGGAATGAGAATATGTGATAGGAACAACTCTGCAGAAACCAAGATCAGTGGAGAAGGAGGGGGAGGAGGTGCTCCAGATGCCGGAGCTGAGATTCCCCTGCAGCCCGTAGTGCAGCCCATGGTGAAGCAGCTGTGCCCCTGCAGCCCATGGAGATCAAAGTAAGTGCAGAGATCCACCTGCAGCCCATGGAGGAGACCTGCACCAGAGCAGGTGGATGCCTGAAAGAAGGCTGTGACCCCATGGGAAGCCCACCCTGGAGCAGATTCCTGGCAGGGACCTGCTGACCCATGGAGAGAGGAGCCCACACTGGAGCAGGTCTGCTGGTAGGACTTCTGACCCTGTGGAGGACCCACGTTGGAGCAGCCTGTGCCTGAAGGACTGTACCTCATGGAAAGGGACCCATGCTGGAGCAGTTTGTGGAGAACTGTAGCCCGTGGGAAGGACTCCCGCTGGAGAGGTTCATGGAGGGACCCCACGCTGGAGCAGGGGAAGGACTCCTCTCCCTGAGCAGCAGCAACATGTGATGAACTGACCCCTGTCCACTTGCTGAGGGGAATGATAGAGCAAATTTGGTGGGCACCTGGCATTCAGCTAGAGTCAATGCACCACAACTATCATACCCCCAAAGCAGC